TTTCACTTATTAAATATTTATCGAAATATACATAAATAATAATTCTGTAATATTTATATTATATATAAGCCATTTCGGCCATTCTTATCTCGGGTACGACTTTAATTAGCTGATATTTTAATTAAAAACTCTGGAAACGCCAATTTTCGCACTCAATTTTTCCGAGTGGCAATAGTAGTGCTCCCTGTAGATAAAAATGCTTTACATTGAAAAGTGTTGCCGCTGCTCTCTTTCAAATCGTAGAGTTTGTTAATCAAAAATTTCTAAGTTTTACAAAATACGAAATAAAATTAGGATTGTAAAATGTTAAACATATTGTTATAATTATATAGGTTATATTCTGACGTTGAAGAAAGCACGCAATTGCATGTGACGTACTGTGTGTCGAAATTTTTTTTAATGCCAGCATTTTAAATAAATACCTGCTGTTGGCAACTTTTTGTTTCAGGTTGGGATAATAAACACGATATGTTAGTGCTACGTTAATTCTTTTATTGATATTGCGAAAAAGTTTCTTTATTAGATTATATTTAAATCAAGACACCGATCATATTAACCTGAAGTGTTAAAAGTTTATGTTTCCTGGTCTGGGAAAAAAAAAAAAAAAAAAAAAAAATCTGAAATGTTTCAGATTTTAAATTACGTCCAAAGGGGCGTTTTTTAACATTTTGTGTGTTACCTTTCTTTATTAAATATCATGTTCCTCGCACTTAAACCATAAGATCCAGTGCAACAGCAATATCGCAAAATAGTTTTAAAACGAGCATATCTTTAGAATTTCCGATACAGAGACTCACGCGCTGGAGATAAAAATGTTTTTTCTGCACAACGTTGCCATTGCTCGCTTTGAAATCCTTGAGTTTGTTAATCAAAAATTCGTCAAAGTTTTAAAAAATAAGAAATCGATCATAAAACAAATTTCAAATTTCAAATTTGGTCTTCCACATGCTCATATTCGTTGGAGGATTACGTTATTCAAAATTCGATGACTCTATGTACCGTTGTTTTATCACAATACGAGAAATATACATACATTTATGCAGATTTTTCATTATTTAATTTCTTCAAATATAATGCAGGACTCTAACATTTTGTGGCAACAGTTTGAAAAGTGAACCGACATTTATGAGTCCGACGCAAAATGCCAAAACGAAACTAATAGTCCTTCGGAATTCAAATCCCTTTGGACTTAAAAAAAAAAAAAAAAAAAAAAAAAATCGTGAAATTTACTTACCGCAACCATTTTTCAGTCGCAGAAGACTTTACGTAGGTTTTTCAAGATGTTCATCTATGAGAAATATTTTTTTTTTGAAAGACACTAAGAAGCAAGGCCATTTGCTATTCAGTTGGTCTAAAATATTCACTCTAAATATCGTTTACAGAGAGGCTTTCCAGTAAAGAAATAAGTCAAGCCTAAGATAAACCTGAAATTAGTCAAGCCAACATAAACCTGAAACAAAAGCCAAAAAAAAAAAAAAAAAAAAAAAAAAAAGCAGCAACATAAACAAGCCAACATAAAGCTAAGATTTTAACTAAAAACTCTGAAAATGCTAATTTTTGCACCTTGCAAGTTGCTTTTTTCGCTGAACTTCATTGCTGTTCGGCAGCGCGTACGAGGTGGAATTTTAAAATTGCAATCAGTCTTTTTCTAAACAGAGGTAGAGTACATTTTTATATGAAATCACGCGGCTGGTTTATTGTTATTAAAATATGTAGACATGATTTAATTCTAGGACGCGTACAGTACGGATTGAAGAGAAAAAAATTTTATTGTCAGAATGACGTTGGTACAAAAAACTGTCTGGCCAAGAGGGAGAACAACAAACAAAATAGCCTTAGTAAGACCTCCCCTAACTGCAGTGGTTGCGCTGCGCAGCATGTTGATACTCAGTACCAGATTATCTAAAAGTTCTTGGTGTAAGAGTTCTCATTACTCAGGAAGCATCTGTTTCAGTTGTCTGGTGTTATCTGGAGGATAAGATCAAGCTGCCAGAAGTCTCACTAAAGTACCCTATATACATTCAATGGAATTTAAACATGACTGAAAAGCTTCATTTATTTAAATTTTGACCACAGAACGTTTTTTGAAATATAAATTTTTACTGTTTTTATTATTATAAATTTTGCTCTCAACATTATACATTGACAGTTCTCAAAACATTGGCATTTGACATTTAAAACATATTTAATTTTTCAGATTCATTACTGAAAGGAATATATTAATATTCTAATGCCATTAAGTACGAACCTTGAATGAAAGCTTAGTTTAATAATAAATTTCTTTCTTTAAATCTTTGTCTTAAACATGTACTTTCAATCATTTCGTTTCATAATAAAATAATTTCCTTAAGCATTAATCTTAGACTTTTTCTTTGGTTCATTTCGCATCATATTAACAAAATTCTTTCTTAAATATTAGTCTTACATGTGTACTTCGATTCATTTCACATCAAAATGACAAAATTCTTTCTTTAAATATTGGTCTTACACGCGTACTATGATTCATTCTGCATCATAACAACAAAATTATTTCTTTAAATACTGTTAGTCTTACTCGTGTACTTTGATTCACTTTGCATCATAACAACAAAATTCTTTCTTTAAATATTAGTCTTAGACATGTACTTCAATTCATTTCGCATTATAATAACAAAATTCCTCCTTTAAATTTTAGTCTTAGGACTCCTCCTTTAAATTTTAGTCTCATATAGTTTGGATCATTTTGCGCAAGGAGGTTAGAATAGAAGGAGGGAGGGTTCGCAGTTTCCTCCACTATCGGGGAATGAAACTCCAGCGAACAAGAGGCGTCCATGTTTGTAACTTCAAAACATTGCATTACGGCAATGAAACGTACGTGTTTTTTAAGCTGTTCCGTGCATGTGTTTTCCACTAAAAATATGTAAAATTCATAATGAAATACTTCGCTACTGTTAGTTTTTTGTTTTAAAGTTATAAAGATAATATCCGTAATTTACTAAGTACAGAAAATCATTAATAACTAGGTCGAAATCTAAATGCATGTTCATAACATTAAAGCCTTTAAAAATAATGTTTCTGCATATTTCAAAAATTTGTTTAGGTTTTATTAGCAAACCTGCATTTGCAACCTGTTGGGTGCACTTTCCAGTTTCCAGTTTTTCCTTAAGAAGATTTAAGAAGTGATATTTCTGATTTATTCACAATATTGTAATTTATTAAAGAATCATTTAAAATATATTTAACCTGAAATTAATAGCAGATAATTTATCTAAAAAAATAGTCACAGGTTGCATTTTTTAAAATGAAAGTTTTAAATAGATTCCTTCCACGACCAACGTACTTATAACAAGAAAAAAATATTAATAAAATAAAACAGAATTATGTGAATTCAGTTATTTTAGTTGATGCGCAGTTATTTTAGTTTTTGTTATCTTGATCAAATGCACAAATTATATTCTTAACAGTTCAAAAACCTTTAAAATGAATTATAATTAATACATAAAGAAAAGCATTACTTTATTTAACACCTTTACAATTCATAAAAATAGTAACAATTGGTGTCTTACTTTTCATGAAAATTATCAAACGAATTACCTAAAACGTTCAAATTATACAGTTTAAATCCTAGCATACATCATTGTATGTTAAGAAACAAAGATGTCAGCTATAAACAGAAACATTAAAATGTATTTAACATATTTTGATTATTATTAAGTCCTTTTTTTCACATCTGGAAAGAAAACAACATGACATTGTGATATTTTTTACCATAGTTATCAAATTACATAAAAAAAGAAAATCAATACTTACGCGTGAAAAGTAATCCCAGGAATCTTTTTCGAAAATCTGTTTGTGCATCCATATACAACACAAGCTGACATGCTTCAAAAAGAAAAGAAAAAAAAAAAAAAAAAAAAAAAAAAAAAATATTGCAATTACAGACTTCCTTGCACAAGTCACAGTGATAACAGGAATATGGCCGCCAAGCTTCACCGTTTGAGTTGAACCTTCCCTCCTTCTATTCTAACCTCCTTGATTTTGCGCCATAATAACAAAATTCTTTCTCTAAATAAATATTGATCTTTGATTTATTTCGTGTCATAATAACAAAATTATTTTTTTAAATTTGTCTTAGGTACGTGTTTTGAATCATTTTGTATCCCAATAACAAAGTTCTTTTTTTTTAATTATTAGTATTAAACATGTGCTTTTAATCGTTTTTGTTTAATAACAAAATTGTTTCACCGACAAATTGAAATATCCCTTTGATTCTGCATGCATGCGTCCCGCGAACGGGCTGGCTGCATGGGCGTTTTCATGGTTTTCCCAATGTGTAACGTGTATACGAGCCAGTTTCCCTTAGAAAGTCCTCCACGAAAGGCATCCCTCCCCTTAGGCAGATAGCCCTAGTGTGCTTTGCCATAATTAAATACACACACACACACACACACATACACACGCATGCATGCGTTATAATAATTAAATATTGTGGTTTTCAATACAGTCTTTTAGCGTTTGGCCAAAAAATGAATAGCTTTCGTCGATTTCGAAAAAGATTTAACCTTTAAGTTTAAAAAAAAAAAAAAACTATATATATTAAACAGAGGCTTTATTTTCGTCAGATACCTTTTGTTTATATAGACGTACTCATGTTTATTCTGCTCTCTATGCTCTGATTAAATATAGCAGTAATAAAATTACTCAACAAAACTTACACTTATTCTTTTAAGATTCCTACTTTGGCAATTTATTGCGTTTTTGGTGGCATTTTTTTGTTTCCTATTGCAGTCAATTTTTATTTTAGCCATAGAATGCAGCTTATTTCAATAAATTCACTGTTGAGAGAAGTATGGCAGTATCAGTGAAAATTTTCATTTGCGTTCGGACAAAAAGTATGCGTTGAATTGCTAATTTGCTAGACTTTTCCAACTGTGAAATTTTCCGTATTCCGATCAAGTTGGCGACAAAGAGAAGAATTTGCACCGCCAAGTAGACTGAATGTGAGCTGCCATATCTTAGTTAGACCTTTCACCGACTGGTACACAAAACAGAAACGTGTTTTGATCCGGATGATTATATATCAATAGAACGCCCCCATAATAATTCAAATGTCTGTATTTTAAATTAAAGATAGTATTCATTTTCTAATAGTAATTTACTTTTCAAATCAAGGTATGTTATGTAAGTTTTATAATTTGTTCTTATTTATTATAAAATTGTGTCATAGCGTTTATAATGATTTTAATATAATCTTACTCCTTTATGCTTGACACTTTTAAATCCATTGCTTGTATTTCTTTTAAATTAATCGTTATTCTTGGTGCAATTTTACGCATTTATGTGCTGATATAAAAGTTAATATATTCATGAGTTTTGTATCAGTAAAATTATTTCTTCGAAATTAGTTAAAAAAACGTTTACCAATTTTTTTACTTCCTGTGCAGAATTTTATGCGTGTTTTCAACATGTTGTTCTGTTGGTTTTAAAACTAATGCCTTGAAATAAGGGAAATGCTATTAAGCGGCATTAGTTTTTCCGACGTGATAACATCAATTCGATGCAGTATTTCGGAATGTATGTAGTATTTTTAAAGTGATTTGAACAATTTAAATAAGTATTTACCAAGTTAGAAATCTATTTCAGTCGTCGTATGATAGTGACGAGTTTTGAATGCTTGTCAGAATTTTCTGGTTAAAATTAATTTTGCACCTATATTATATACGTGCCCAAATGAAATTCATGAAAGTTAAAAAAAAAAAAAAAAAAAAATAGTACAGTTAATTTTTTTATGAAAATCGGTCAAAAAGTGGGTAAACCTTAATGAATAGTTAATATATATATTTTTTCAAAGATGTATGAAAACATTTGAGGACAAAAATTATTGAAACTATTTGTACCAAAGTAGCACCGAAAATATAATAATTTATGGCATTGATAAAGAAAAGGTTAGATTTAGTGTATTTTTATATATTTTGAAAATGCATTTTCTGTTGCATCAACTCAGAAGATGCTAAACTTTTGTGGCACATGTTAAATTGTTAGTTTTGTTCTTCGTAATGTCATCCAACATTTCACTTAAATTTTTTAATATGAAATGTAAATCCTCTATAATGTTGTTTTAAGATTTTATCAAATGCAGTTTTAATCTGTGCAATTAAAATTCATAATTTTGGGCATTCTTGGCCTGACAAAGTAACCTGAATTGTCAATGAAGAAACAATGCCTCAATGAAGAAACAGATGATTTTATTGTGTATTTCACTTTAAAATAAATTTTTATGAATATTGTAAAGTAGTAGTTTTATGGGTATTATAAAGTAGCCTGAAGTGTTTTGGAGAAACAGATGATCTTTGACTTTAATAATATAAATGTTTATTGATTTATACTATACTAAATTTTTATTTATATTAAATTTTTGTTGTTATAATGGGAACTAATGTCTATTTCATTTTATATGATGTTGTTTTTTGCTTGTATTGCATAATCCTTTATAGAGAGAAAAATATTCTTTGAATGAAAAATATTTCAATGAGAAATGGATTCTTAAATTTGTAATTCTGTTTAATTTGTAATTAAAAATGCTACTAGCATAACGATATCCTGTGCATGATTTTCTTAAATGTGTCTATTATAATTTTTAGGTATGATTTTTAAATTGTAAAAGAATTTAGATGATAAACGTATTTACAAATTTTGACATTATTTGAACAAATAGATATCCGAAAACTTTTTCATGTTTGAAATAATTTACATATATATCAGTTATATTGCAATTTTACTTGTCATTAAAAGAATAAAAGTGCTAAAAACAGTTAAGATTAGTTATGCCAGTAAGGTCTCCTTGATCATTTATCCTGTAGCCAGCCCTAATGAGGACTGGAGGACCATTATTAAGAAGATAGCCATTAGTTTATGTTTTGTTAATACTTTTGTGTTGACAGTCCTATTATTAATTTAGTATTTCTGCTATTCTAATTATTTTTTTCTTTACTGTTTGTACTAGTCTAATTTTTTCTTTATGAACTTTTTTAATATTTTTTAGAAATGCAGTTCCTGAAATATTATGTAATGAAGTGTAAGGATTTGCTGAATGATTGTAATTTAGTGTTGCTAGAAAGAAAACTTTAAAAAGAACATTGAATTGAACATTGACGTTGAGTATTTTATGTTTATGCAGAAATTCTTTGCTTTTTGCTTTGTATCCACACTCACTGGGAAATTTTGTGCAGGAGGCTGAAAAACTGTGAAAGTAATATACTTCATGTGCACTACAGATTTTTGCAGAAAAACTACCCATTAAAGAATAGTTAATGAATAATAATACATGATGGCCATAGTGTAATAGTAGTGCTATCTCATTCTGAAAATGAAGAAATTTTGAAAAAAAGATACTGTAATTTAAATTTGTCATCTATTTAACCCTTTGACTGCTAACTGCTTGCAAGTTGGAGCAATTTTTGTAAGTGGCATGCAGCTGCAGAATGACTGACCAAATATATGAGATTTAATTTTTTCTCGTTGCTAAGCAGTGAACGAGGTACGAGTTTTCTGAGTGTTAAACATATATGATAGGAATATTTTTGAAGTAAATAACCGAAGCCTTCACCGAACATGCATTTGCGTCGACTTAACTTCGAGTTTGGCCTAACTCATTGAGCACTTCATTAACATTTATATATACACTGAAGAGCCAAAACATTATGACCATCTACTCAATAACACGCTGCACGACCTTTGGCCTTCAAAAGAGCTGCAACTTGCCTTCGCATGGATAGCACAAGTTATTGGTAGATGAGTGGAGACAGGCTGTACCAAATATTTAAGCAGTAGTCATGCAAAGTCCAGATATTCAGACGTGGGGGTGTCTTCCAATATAGTTTGAGCTCTGAGCTGCTGCATGATATCCCAAATAGGCTCTAATATTTAAGATCCAGCAAATTAGGTAGCCAGGACACTAATTGGAATTAATTCTTATGCTTTTCAAACCACTCCAACACAATTTGACCCTTGTGACATACAATGCAGTCCTGATGGAAGATTGCATTTCCAGTTGGGAAGATACATGCCATATAGGGATGTAGATGCTCTGCAGTTATGTTCAGATAGTCCACAGTGTTCATGGTCTGTTCTACCACAACTAATGGTTCTAGAGCCGTGAATAAGAACTTCCTCCAAATAATAATACCGCCACCACCAGGCTGTGTATGACCTGCCGTAAAGGGGTGGAGCAACTGTTTGCTTGGAAGATACCATATCCTGACACGACAATCGATGTGATGCATGAGAAATCATGATTCTTTTGACTAGGTCACTCTCTTCCACTTATCCATGGTCTCGTCTTGTTGCTCCCGGGCTCTTTGTAGGCATAGTTGAATATAAAGCTTAGTCAATTGAGGCACACAAGTAGGATGTCTGTTGCACAGTCCCAACAGTTTCTGCTGAACTGTTTGTTCCAAAACACTTTCACTTGAACCTGCATTGTATTAGTCGGTCAGCTGAGCCAATGTCTGGCATCGATTTTGCTGTACCAAGCAGGACAGTCTACAATGTCCTTATTCTTTGATTAAAGCATAAATTAGCATACATTTGTACGCTGAGCAATTTAGCTCCGTTTCTGCATATCTGCATGGCACACATCTCAAACCAAAACATTCCACATAGATCAACACTTTAAGCCTCCTATCATCCATAAATAATTAAAAAAAGTAAATGTGCAGTCAACTTGGCAAAACAGTAGATTGAATGTCAGTTTGTGTTCAGGTAAAGTTCAACAGTTAGAAGTCAAAGGTTCAGCATAACATTAGCAGGTAGTTTGCGAATGTTTGTAGTAAGATGAAAACAACCAATATGTGAACAAATCCATTTTAAAAGTTTATGGAAGCTTGGTTCTGTGAATCACTGAAGAAGGGGAAAGTTACCTGAATGTTTTTTAAATTTTCGGAACTTAGCACTAAAAAAGCTAGAGGGGAAAACATATGACGAAATATGGTATTCCTTATTCATAGTTTTGTGATGAAGGTTTTATATCAGATTTTATTCGAAGAAACTTAGTCACTTTATAAACTTATAATTTATTGCATCTTATGTAAGAAAATAATTTTTTTATATGTTTATTACAAAACCAGTTCAAATCAAGCAAGTATGTCGAGCTGTTATTCTTAGCAACTTTTAAAAACTGAAATTGTTCATTGTCAAGAGTATCTATATCACATCCATTTTTGAAAGTAGACAATGTAGTGATTTAATTATGCTAATGTACACTCTTTAGTAAATTGTATTTCTCAGTAGATTGCTTAGTTTTTCATAATATTTTGTTTCCTTCATAATTATTTAGAAAATAAATGCAATAAAAATGAAATGTTGGCAATATAATTGATCTGCGGGGAGCTTGTGCCATACTGGGATATTAAAATTTTACAGCAGCCTATTTGCAGATTTCATTTTTATTTAATGACAGAATCAAATAATTTTTTAAAATTTTATACAAGAAGAGTGAATCAAATTAAGAGAATCTTTGAATTCTGAAGTAAATTGTGATAACAATTCTCAAAACAAATTCAAGTATGACTTTTTGGTTCTTCTTTATTATTATGATCCTTATTTTTAAATGCAAATTTGGTATCAGGAATATTGTGATGTTCACATTTTACTTCTCATATGTACCGGGGGGCCATAATTAAACTGACAGTGCTCACAGTGTTCTGTAGCGCGATCTATTTGCGAGAATGATGCCACATTTTGTAAGAAGATTAAACAAGACGGGGGACGAAGGATTCCACGAAAACAAAAATTAGTTCCGAAAGTCACCGCTAGAGGAATATTTGGCGCTGTGTAATAGAAAATAGAGTGTTAACAAATGCAAATTAATACAGAATAAAATTACCTTTCATTATGGCTATGCCTTACAGTATGGTATGGAAAATCTTACGAAAGATTATCAACTTCTATCTGTACAAGATCAGCCCTGTACAGGAGTTACTGTACCTTGACCATGATAAGCGATTGACTTTTGCTCTCATCTTTCTTGCCAGAAAGGAGGTGGATGATGCTTGGCCGTGCAAAATCTTATGGGGAGACGAGGCCCACTTTTACCTGAATGGAACTGTGAATACCCAGAACTGCCGAATTTGGTATGACAAATCACCACATGCAGTCACAGCAATTCCCTTACATTCACCAAAGGTAACTGTTTGGTGTGGGTTCACAGAGGAATTTATCGTAGGTCCATTCTTCTATGCGAACATTACCTCGACAGGACCGGAAACCTGTTCTGTTACCGGAGACAAATATCGCCACATGTTGAACAGCTTTGTCATTCCGGCACTTCACCAAAGACAATGCCTGGGGGAAATCATTTTCATGCAAGATGGTGCCCCTCCACACGTTGCTGTACAGGTGCAACAGATGCTACGAGAGAAATTCACAACAGAAAGAGTCATTAACCGTTACTTTCCAACTGCATGGCCACCTCAGTCGCCTGATCTTACCCCATGCAACTTCTGGCTATGGTGTTATCTTAAGTCCAAGGTCTATCAAGGAGTGGTCCAGGACCTGGCTACGTTGAAGGATAACATATCACGGACTGTACGGGAGATTCCTGCAGACATGTTACTTTCTGCTGTTGTGCATAATGTGCACAGAATGCAATATGTGGTCCACAACAACGGCAGCCACATTGAACCTCATTTGAATGCAAAATAAAGGATAATTTCCGTATTGATTTGCATTTGTTAACACTCTATTTTCTATTACACAGTGCCAAATATTCCCCTAGCGGTGACTTTTGGAACTATTTTTTTTTTTTTTTTGTGGAATCCTTCATCCCCCATCTTGTTTACTCTTCCTACAAAATGTGGCATCATTTTCGCAAATAGATCACGCTACAGAACACTGTGAACGCTGTCAGTTTAATTATGGCCACTCGTTACTTTGTGACTGCCTTGTTTCTGTAATTGCTTTTAATATGGCATCAAAAGGAATTTCCCCAAGAATTTTCAACATGTGGATTCATGATGATGGTAAACTATTTCTGGGTGATTATTATTGATTATTATTCTGCCACTTAGCAGAGTGCCACAGTCTTTCAATATTTTATGTATGAGTAGCTGTTGTTGGATCAACAAAACGAAATTTATAGTTAATGGTAAAATGCATCTAACCTGCTTTTTGCAGCTCTTCTATTTTATATGCCATGAGCATAGTAACCTCCCTATTCAGAATCTGAGTGAGAGGTTTTTCGACATATTCCACTAACTAGAATCCTGTAACTGCTAGTTTTTGTCTTTTTCTTTTTTCCCCCCTTGCTCGAAGAGACATTTTTTTGTGTCCACAGTTTTTACAGGGTCAACTATTCGCCTAGTTAGCTATCAGATTAGATGTAGAAAATACACCTGTCTCACAAAAATATTCCAGTCAAGCATATGCTTTTTACTGTTGAAACTTTTCACTGATGACTCTGAATGCTTTTCACTGATATGTACTTTCATTTAACGGCCATTTTTGCATATTCCATTTCGAAATAAAATGTATCTTTCTTGGAAGAAAGATATAGCATCTTCCTTTGTATGTTGTTAAAACCAAATATATATATATATATGTAAAAAAAAAAAAAAAAAAAAAAAAAGATTTTTAAAGAAAACATGTTAAAATACTCAGAGCTGTTCTCATGGCAAGAAAATTATGAATCCTTAACATTTATATGAAAAAAAAATACGGTAGTACCACATTATATATCCAACTTGATATATGTCATATTTAAGGACGAAAATTTTTGTGTGGAGTAGGACTCGAGCTTGATGAGTCTCAACTGCATGCACTACTCTTGTTCACCTCTTTCAAGACAATGTTATAACTGTTGAACATCAGTATGCCTGTTGCTACTATTTAGTAAATATCCTGTTATATAACTCTGAATTTTCAAGTGATTTTGGATTCTTCTGTGTCAATTTTTTGTAAATTCATTATTATTGAGTTTTAAGAATGTTGGAGCAATGAAAAAACGTTTTAGGAATACCGCAGAGGTGAAACAAGAAGACTGTTGAAAAGTATAAAGGTAGCATGTGTGTTTGAGACATGGGTCTTGCATACTGTATGTTGAGTATTATGGTGTCTACTATTGCAAAAAGCAAAAGTGCTGTTAAATCAGCTAATGTTGTGGAGGGTGAAATCCGTTACCAGACAAAGATCAGAGACCTTTAAGCATGATGAATAATTTCTTTTGATCTGAATAGCAGAAAAACCCTTATGTACTGTATATAGTTCATTCACTGCATTTGTATTTTAGTATTAACCCTTTGGCAGTCGAAGATTAAGCAATTCTTTCTTCCCAAATTATGCACAATATCTGTCAGTCATCACTTTGTAATTGCAGCTTTGTTCATTTGGGCGCATTGTGGTATGTAACTGGAGTGCAAGTTGAGCTCATTGATGACCATCAAAAGGTTAAAGTGTTATAATAATAACAATAGGATTTTTTTATAAGAACAGATTGTTTTTTTACTTATTTTCTGTTGGGAAAATTCATTTTGTGTATGTATTGCGTGGTATACATCCAAGGATCTAGAACTGGCTAATGATGCATATGGTAGTACCACTGTATGATAATACTTGCATTACTCAAATGTCTTCTTATCATGAGCAAATTATAAATGATTATCATTGCAATTCCTGCTCATCTGAAGATAGTTTGCAATTTCGATTTATTGATAAGTGGTGCTATTTGTAAAATAAAGGCCATATTGTTAAGGAAGAACCTTTCTTTTTACAAGCCTTTATTCTTACTAAAACATAAGCGGATTCATTACTAGGTATATATTTTTAAAAATAAACAAAAAGTGTTTTAGATATTTTGCTTTCACTTGTGTGATCTAACTCTGTAATTTTTTTTCTCATTTTCAGGGAATGAACTTTATTATCTAAGTGCCAAAATGTTTGCTAAGTAGATAGCAGTCACAGTTTATTCAAGTCTTCAATATATAAAACAGCCAAGTCCAATTATGATTAGGCAATCAAATTTATTGAAGTGGGCACATAATAATAAAAACAATGTTAAAAATGGAAGTATGTATCTTATAATTCTTTTATAAATTTTGTGCTTATTTTACATATTCTTTTTATGAAATTCATGCTGGAATACTTTGTGTTACTGTAGTATTGATAAAAGTGGTACTTGAGTATTATCCTGCCAATCATGTAACTGTTGCGGAGCAACATGATTTAGTGGAAGCTATGGATAAGTGTGACATAACAACATACTCATCTGCATTTTTGTCTGATTTAACCTCAATTTATTCTCAGTAAGCCACCTTTTTTTGTGATGAGCAAGGCTATCAATTTACTTTTATTGTTGTATATTTTCTAGCAATTTAAAAAAAAAAAAAAAAGAAGAAGAAAAATAAGACCTGCCTTCTACCAAGCAGCAAACAGTAGATTATTTTCACAGTTATGGGATCCTATCGTTAAGAAACATTTGTATTAATGGATATGACATGGGCAGCTGAATATGGTCAACAAAACAGTAATAATAATCCTGTGGTGTGATATCACCCCTTCTTCATACACCGCCTCATAGAGAAATAAATCCACCTTCTTGTATTTTAAACATTTATTGTACACAGAAAACTACACACTATATCAATAAACTACACTACTGATGATTAGAAGATTTACATTAAGAAATACAAGTTAATTTCATTTTGATTTACAGCTCCCATGAGCCTTCTCCTTATCTATGATCTCTCTATAGGTCTATCTCTTGGAACCTAAACTTCTGGCACCTCCCAGACTGAGAGTTAGCACTCTCTATACATCTTGTTGGTTGGTGTCACGCATACATCACATGTGGGAAGTTTTAATTCTTTGTGTTCTAAATAGAGCTTTGATAAAATTGAAGGTTAATAATAAAATGGTTGAAGCCAACAAAAGCCTTTTTATGAACCGCAAAAAGAAAGTTAGTCAAATCAGATTGTTTATTAAATAAATAGGCATCAGTTCCTTGAGAATATTGCGGAAACAGTTGGCATAGCTTTGGTGGGATCACTGCTGATTTTCATTGTTTGATAATAACCACCTTTCACTGTCAGTGGGATAATACATAAGTATCATAAAAGAAATATTTTTTTTAGATAATTTTGAATTTCTAACCATAAATTTTAATATAATTGAACGCAATGGGGGAAAATACCTTATTCATTTGTTTTTGGTTATTATAGTTTATATTTTGTTTATCTCGTCCTATACATTTTCATAGCTAGTTATTGTTTGTTAATCAAAATCATAAAAACAACCTTGTATTTAGTGTAAGTATATTGAAACACTCTAAATACTTACGCTAAATATAAGGTTGTTTGTTACTTGTTGAAAATTATAAAGTATCTGTAATTTTTTTATAGTAAACTCTTGTTACATCATCAATATGTTGGGTGTTTGACAAAATTACGCTCTGCAGAGTTAATTATCTATGGAAAAAATGTGTGAATTATAATTCAGGTTAAGAAAGTATATATAATTAAACAAACATGGATATTATTTTAATTTAAGTGAAATAAATATTAATTAAAAGCATTTTTATTACTGCTTGATAAGTATGCGACACAGTTTTTTTTAGCAGTTTTTATAGAAAAAAAGTGATATATTTTGTTTTAAACTCAGTTTTAAAATATGTGCTTATAGGATATGTTTGGCACAGAAAAAATTTTCAGTATAACTGCAAGAATGCTGTTAATTTTTCCCAAATGGCTAAAAGAAACAATTGATTTGAATTTCTTCTTAAAATGGCTGCCACAGAATTTATACAAGGAAAAAAATTGCTTTTAAGTTAATTTTATTGACTGATTCTCAGGATAATTTATAATGTCTGTGTAATAAATAACTCTTTTGCAGTTGCTAGCTTTCGCATGGCCTACTGTAATAATAAAAAAGAAAAAAATATGTAGTGATTTTAATGTCTCCAGCTAGCAAAATTTCATAAAAATGTTTAATATTTATAGTTAGACATTTCATGATTTAAATATGTTTTAAATTAAATTAGAGTAAAAAGCAGAGAAAAATATTCTTAAGACCTGCACTTTTGTTAATCTGGGGGAAAAAACAGATAAAATAGAAAAATTAAATATCGTATGATTTATTAAATGGTACCTGTTTTGAGGTCGCTGGTTAGACTCTATACTATAGACAACTTTACAACAACAACAACAATTTTATTTTGTGGACTGTATCATAACTAAAATCTAAATCGAAAATGATAAATTCCTGACCATACGGGATCAAAACATGTATGCTACGCTAGGAGTTCGAATCTTAACTAAAATTGCGCAGAAACAATGCGCTGTACATTACTTATATTGCCGCGTAGGAGGCAACATACCGCCAAACTAAATCTTAAGTATACAATTCAATATCAATTCAGTTATTCAGTTTTTTAAGCATTAACAAAGACTTAAAGTTAGTAAATCATTTACAGAATGAAATAAACGATTCAAAAAATTCCATAAAGTTTGAACATTTGCAAATTTTTTCAATGATTATGTATATCAACATTTCAAACAGTAAAAAATATTGACATTTTTCATCAAAATTACCAAAATATAAGTATAATAAAGAAAAATGTATATTTTATTAACAATGAAACTTAATCCTTGAAGTTATCCTCAATAGGCAATAAACAAATTTTTGATATTGGCCTTTTAATTGGACCAAACTTTGTGTTATTGACTGCTACTCGTATCTTACCATCTTTACCAGGAATTGTCTGATCAATTCTTCCTAATAACCATTTAAATGGAGGTAACTGATCTTCTTTAATAATAACCATTGTATTTTTCTTTATATTGTCCTTTGAAAAATACCATTTCTTTCATTGTTGCAAGTGATTAAGATAGTAAGTTATCCTATAATCCTATAATCTATAATCGTTTCCATATAATCTGTATCATTTTAGTTAATTTTTGCCATTTTGACAATCTGCTTTCTGACAAGTCCAAAATTTGAGGTTCTACAATTGAGTTTATGGGTCTACCTATTAAAAAGTGACCTGGCGTCAAGGGTTCGTAATCTGAAGGTTCAGACGATAAAGGAGAAAGAGGTCTCGAATTTAGTATTCCTTCAATTTGATCAGTTACGGTTAAAAATTCTTCATAGTTTAGTTTAGCATCTGAAATAGTTCTTTTAAGATGAAATTTAAAAGATTTGATTCCCGCCTCCCAAATTCCACCAAAATTGGGGGCACAAGGAGGAATAAATTTCCAAGAGATATTTTCAGAAACCAAATACTTACCCAAAACTTCATCAGGGACAGTAACTAAAGAAGCAAGTTCTTTAACTCTTTGTGAGCTCCTATAAAATTAGTTGCATTGCCACTAAACAGACATGAGCTTTTACCTCTACGCGAGAAAAATCGTTTTAAACATGCAACAGAGGCTTCAGATGTTAAGTCAAATACTATTTCTAAATGAATCGCTTTTGTAACTAAAACAAAGATTGCTATATAAACTTTTATGTAAACTACCTTTCCTTTGATTTCTATATTTGATTAGAAAAGGGCCTGCAAAATCTATCCCTGTGTTATGAAAGGTTAGATTTGGATTTGCACGTTCAGGAGGTAATTGGCCATTAATTGGTCTGAAATGATAGGTTTATGATGAAAACAAATTACACATTCGTGAACTGTTTTTCTAGCTAAGTCCTTGCCACCAATGGGCCAAAACCTTTCCCTAACAAAATGTAATAACGCTTGAGGACCAGCATGAAAATTTTTCAAATGATAATGAATAAATAGCTTGGTAAGCTTATGATTTTTTGGCAATAAAATTTGATGTTTAGAATCATGATTGATTGTGGCATGAGTTAAGCGACCGCCCACACGTAATATATCTTTTCCATCTAAAAATGGATTTAAAGTTTTTACCTGACTGTTGATTACTCTCTGATTTTGAAGTGATTTAATCTCCTCTGCAAATTCTATTACCTGAACCATTTTTATCAAGTGCATCCGCATCTTGATATTCCGTGCTACTAATGGGGCCTGTTTTCTTCACTGGACCTTTCAGATTGGACAGAAACCTGAAAATAAGACTTAAAATTCTAATTAGTTTAACATAATTATTTGTTAATTCAAAAAAGGTATTCCAAACCAAGTTTAAATTGCAGTTCAAATTAACATCTAAAGGTTTTTTAAATTCATCCTGATAAGCAGGAGAATCTATGAGAGTCTTGTCAAGTTCAAATAAAGAAGCATCACTAAGTTCGTTCTGTTCAGGACCATTCCACCACAAGGAAGATGTCACAAGTTCATGAGGATAAGCACCACGAGAAATCAGATCTGCTATTTGCTGATGATACGTGCTTCCAGTGTCGCGGCTCTACTAGTCTTTGGATTTTGAAGACTTTATTTGCAACAAAGGTCTTCAAAAGATATTCAACCATGACAGTACTATCGTTGAATCAGTGCACAGAATGATGTCATCTAAATGTATCTTCAATGAGTTGCTAACTTTCGAAATCAGATGAGCCAATAACAAACATGCACAAAGTTCCAATCTTGGAATAGATAAAGTTTTCAATGGAGCCACACGAGATTTGCTGGCTAGTAGATGAGATGACGAGCCGTGATCTTCATCGACACAAATCAAGTAGACAACTGCAGCATAAGCGGTTTCCGAAGCATCTGCATATCCAATGAGTGAAATCTTGCTTGGATGATTGGAGAGGATGCAACGATTAATTTTTATGGTTTCAACAGCCTTTAAGTTTGAAACTATCTGTTGCCATTCGTGAGCAATAATTGCAAAAAGTGGTTCATCCCAACTCAGTTTTTGAACCCATAATTTTTGTAAAAATATCTTGGCTTTGGTGATTACCGGACCAATCAGTCCTAAAGGATCATAAAGTCTGGCAATTGTCGATAAAATGTCTCTTTTAGTATATATGATGATTTCTCCTCGATTGAGACTTTAAAGCTGAATTCATCCTTCTGAGAATTCCATGTAATGCCTAAAGCTTTAACCACATTATCACTTTTGGAGGAGAATGAAAGCTCAGAGCTTGTAAGAGGGCTATCCAAC